GTCCCAAAGAAAAAAGATGTAGAGTTTTTACCACCTCAACTTCCAAGTGATAAATTCAAGGATGATCCAGTTGGACCTTTTGGACAGGAAAGTGTAACATCAGTTACAGAGTATGTATTTTTTTTTAATAGTCACTATTATAATCTATGGGTGGAAAAATTATGTAAGTTCTTAATATTAGGACTCCAGAATTGGTTTCAGGGTAGGATTTTCAATAATAAATCCTTTGAGTATTTTTTTTTTACTATGTTCTGTCCAAAGGGAACCTCTTTATTATAAAATCTTTTAATCACAAAAAAGTGGAGAAAATATTAACATTTTTTTATCAATCAACTTAAAGATTTAAGTTGTTAGATCAACCAGCTTAAGAATTTTTCATATAATTAGAACTCTTACGTACTGTCTTTCTTCCTCCATTCTTCCTTCCATTTCCTGAATTTGGTAGTTTTATTTCTATATGTTTTTATATATGTTGCTCTATTTAATTCATTTTAATTGCTCTATAGTATTTATTTGTTTTGAATTTGCTATCTACTCTCTTCAAGATGGATATGTTGGTTATTTTCAGAATTACAAAGGATGTAGCAGAGAACTTTATGTATACATTTCCTTGTACGCTTGTATAAAATTTCTCTAGGAATACATTTTAAAGTGAAATTGCTGGGCCTCGAGATATTTCCATATTTAAGAATTGTTGCCCGATTGCTTTTTCAAATTATACAGTTTACACTCTCTTCAACCAGCAGAATATGAGAATGGCTATTTTTTCATTTCCCTCAGTATTTGGTATTATGAAACTTATAATTTGGTTAATCTGTATTCAGAATGACATCTTATTGTTTTAATATGTGTTTTCCAGATTTCTAGTGAAGTTAAGTATTATTTAAAATGTTTACTTGATATTTAGGTTTCCCCTTCTGTGAATTACCTGTACCTCATATTTCTTAGTCCATTCCATTAGTCTTATAATATTAGTTTGATGTGCTACAGCTGTCTTCTTCCATTCTATGATTAGCCTTCTTTGTCCACTTTGTATCTGACATATTTTGGGCAAAAGTAGACTTTTAGTTCTAATTACACTCGTCTGTCCCATAAGTCTTTTGGATTTTTATTTTTTTAAATTTTATTTACTTTTTTATTTTTTTAAATATATTTTATTGATTTTCCACAAGAGGAAGGAAGAGAGATAGCTAGAAATGTCAATGAGAGAGAAACATCGACCAGCTGCCTCCTACACACCCGCTACTGGGAATGTGCCCACAACCAATGTACTACATGTCCTTGACCAGAATCGAACCTGGGACCTTTCAGTCCGCAGACCGACGCTCTATCCACTGAGCCAAACCGGTTTTGGCAAGTCTTTTGGATTTTTATCTGTAGATTTTTTGAAATTGCTCAAGAATATGTGTAGGTATAGTGATCTTTTGTTTAGTTCTTACACTGGGCATTTGAGGAGGGTTGGTTCAATTTGAAGTCTTCTTTTTTTAGTCTTGCCACTAGAACGGTCTCTTTTTCTTAGATATTCTCTCAATTTTCCTCCCCTCCCCACTTTCTGTGGAACTTTTATAATTCAGATATTGAATAATTTCTGTATTTTCTCTCTCATTTTCTAGCTTTTTCCCCCTCTATATTTTGAGGGGATTTCTCCTAGCTCTTTCTTGAAGTTGTAATATTTATTTTTCATGTGTTCCTCCCTCCCCACTCCACCCCTGTAAACTTTTTTGTTAATAGCGTCCTTTTCTTGTTTAATGTCCTGTAATTTCCCCCCCGTTAGAATTACCTGCCTTATTTTGGTCGTCTTCTTTATTATTGCTGCCATATCTATGTTTATTGTTTCTTCACATTTTATTTAATTAATTAATTAATTTATTTATTTTAATATATTTTATTGATTTTTTACAGAGAGGAAGGGAGAGAGAGATAGAGAGCTAGAAACATCAATGAGAGAGAAACATTGACAAGCTGCCTCTTGCACACCCCCTACTGGGGATGTGCCTGCAACCAGTGTACATGCCCTTGACCAGAATCGAACCTGGGACCTTTCAGTCCTCAGACCGACGCTCTATCCACTGAGCCAAACCGGCTTCGGCTGTTTCTTCACATTTTAGAATGAGGGCATAGAGATGCTGATCAGAAATTTTGTGTATATATACAGTCTTGTTAATTGGCAGGCCTTGCTTATTCATTCAATGAGTATTTTAGTGAATACTATGTATCAGTTTCAGGTACTTTGCTTTATGATAATGGAGTAAGGGATGTTTTGGAAGGGAGGCCTTGTACCTAAAATTCCAGAATGAAGAGGATGCCAGATCTTAGATCTTCACCACGTAGTTTATTCATTTTTCTTCTTTTTTAATATATTTTTATTAGGAATTTCAGAGAGGAAGGGAGAGGGAGATAAAAACATCAATGATGACAGAGAATCATTGATCAACTGCCTCCTGCATGCCTCATACTGGGGATTGAGCCTACAACCCATGTGCCTGATCTGGAATTGAGCTGCAACATCATGGTTCAATGCTCAGCCACTGAGCATTGCCAGCTGAGCTCATTATTCTCATAAGATGAACCTTTCTTATTCTTCCATTTTCAGCTCTTAGTTTTCATTTCTGTCTAGAGATATAAATCCAGATTTTCTCTGGTTATCTGAACAGTTTGTCTCTCCTGTTTATATAGTTTGCTGATATCCTCTTATACATTCTAGGGCGTAAACTTTCTCTGCTGTGTTATATTAATTTTTGAGCTTCACTGAAACTAAGTAAAATGTTTGGTCCACTTATAGTCTCTCTCATTTATCCCTACTGCTAGAAAAAAATATCTCTCTCTTTTTTTTTTTAAATATATTTTATTGATTCTGCACAGAGAGGAAGGGAGAGAGATCGAGAGTTAGAAACATCGATGAGAGAGAGTCATCGATCAGCTGCCTCTTGCACACCCCCCACCGGGGATATGCCCGCAACCAAGGTACATGCCCTTGACCGGAATCGAACCCGGGACCCTTCAGTCCCCAAGCCGACGCTCTATCCATTGAGCCAAACCGGTCTCGGCTAGAAAAAAATATCTTGATTATTACTTTAGTAGTGTGCTTTCTCTGTCACTTTTTTCTTTTCTTTTTTGTTCGTGTTTTTCATCTAGCACTTTGAATCTTAATTTTTTTCTAGTATAATTTTTTAAATATATTTTATTGATTTTGTACAGAGAGGAAGAGAGAGGGATAGAGAGTTAGAAACATCGATGAGAATCATCGGCTCTAGTATAATTTTTTAAAAGTTAGAACTAATCTGTATTTGAAATTGAGGGAATTCAAATGATCATGGAAGACAGCTAGCTTATTTTATTTATTTGTTTGTTTTTAAGATCAATCTTTTTCCTCCCATTTTTTAAAATTAAGGTATTATATGTGTACATATCTTATCATTGCCCCCCCCCCCCCCCCCCCCCCCCCCCGGTTATTTAATTTTAGTAGTTAGTCAACAATGATGGCTTGGAAACAAGCCTGAAAAGTTCTTAAATTATCTGTGCTGGATGAATATAAAAGTCTAAGCTAGCCTCAACTCTTGTCTAAAACTGTTTGTCTTCTTATTTCTGTACTTCTCTACATTTATTTTGTACACAGCAGAGTGATCATTGTAAGTTAAGTATTACATTACTCATTTGCTTAAAACCTTTCAGTAGTTTCCCTTTATATGTGGAATAAAACCCAAACTCTTTTTCCTCGTTTGTAAGATTCTACACTGTGTCCTGCTTAGCTAGTTCTTCATTTTTACTACTCTCCTATTTGCTTTCTGATTTAGGCACACGAGCTTTCTTGCCACTCCTTTCAAAAGCCAAGCTCATTTCTTATGGCCTTCAGAATTGCATTATAGACTTGGGGAGGGGGGGCAGCTTTCTTATTAAGTCCTACTCAAAAGTCACCTTTTCAGGAGGTATTTCCCTGACATTCTATCTAAACTATGACCTCTGCTCACTCCCCAGATCATTGCCTATCCTGTATACTGTTTTCATTATCTCCCTATATGTAGCAATATCTGAAATTATATTATGCATTTTCTAATGGTCTTTTCCCTGTTAGAATGTAAGCTCTATGAGGGCAAGGATTGTGTCTGGTTTAGTGTGTGTTTCTCCAGCCTAAATAAATACACACACTCTAAAGAGCAATCTTAGGTACCTAGTAGACAATCAACAAAAGTTGGATGAGTGAAATGACAGTATGGCCATCGATTACTTTAAGATTTTAAAATTTCTTTTTCTTCTAGGTTATATTACTTAGTATATGTTAAAATGTAGTGGCATGAATATTTTCAGCTTTAAAAACTTTAAAGAGTGAGGGCACATTATATTCATAAATTCTAAGAATTCTATCCATACTGTATTAGCCAAATAAGTTTATTGGCTGCTTGTATGCATGGACATCTATAAGTGAAATGAAGGTCTCTGAGAAGTTAATACAGCTTAACCTTAGAATCTGTTTTGAAATTACTTGGCATTTTTCTCACTGAATAAGAATGAGAAGCATAATGTAGAACAGTAGCTCGCAGAATAGAATGGTATAAATTAAGAGAAAAACATGGCTTCTACTTGTTCGTAGTTACCATTTTTTCTGCCTCATAAAAAGAAAGAAAAGATTGAATAAAAGGTTTTTTTAAATTCTATGTCTCATGTGAGTATTGTTTTGGTTATACTACTAAAATATGTATTATGCCTCGATTCACTTTTAGATAGAATCCTTGTTTCTGTGTTGTAGCAGATTAGAATATGGTAAATATCACAAGAAATCAACTATCAGAAGCTTAGCTGCTATATGAACTTAGAAACATTTATTGAATATAATATTCTATACTTGGTTAGTTAGAAGTTTTTTGTTTTGTTTTTTTCCCCCAACATTTTCTACTTTCTGATTTTTAGATAGAGAGGGAAGGGGAAAGGGAGAGAGAGAAACATCGATTTGTTATTCTACTTATTTATGCATTCATTGATTAACTCATGTATGTGCCCTGACCAGATTGAACCCGCAACCTAGGTGTATCAGCATGTGCAGCTCTAACCAACTGAGCTACTCGGCCAAGGCAGAAGTTTTTATTTTATGTTTTAATTATCTGAATGAATCTGCCGTTTTTCTAAAGTTATTCTATGGAAGTAGTTCTCAGTTGGGATAATTTCTTATCCCCAACCACTCATACCCCAGGTGACATTTGGCAATGTCTGGGAACATTTTTGGTTGTCACATTGGGGGTGTATTACTGGCATCTGGTAGTAGGGGCCAATGCTGTTGCTAAGTAATCTACAGTGTATAAGAGAGTCCCCCACAACAAAGAATTATCTAGCCTAAATGTTAATAGTATTGAGGTGCAGCCCTGACTGGTTTGGCTCAGTGGATAGAACGTCGGCCTGCTGACTGAAAGGTCCCAGGTTCAATTCCAGTCAAGGGCATGTACCTTGGTTGTTGGCACATCCCCAGTAGGGGGTGTGCAGGAGGCAGCTGATCGATGTTTCTCTCTCATCGTTGTTTCTAACTCTCTATCCCTCTTCCTTCCTCTCTGTAAAAATATCAATAAAATATATATTTAAAAAAATAGTATTGAGGTGCTTCAATGTCATGAATAACTTATTAGAGAACTTTGAACTCTAGAATAAGTTATTAAATAAGGTAGGCCAAAAATGTTTATTGATTAGTTTCACTACAGAGATTCCCCATTTTGGCCTGTCTTCCCCTTCCCACAAACCACAGTAAAATACTGATATGGTCTTCAGTGCTTGTATTATGTTAAAACAAAAGCTTTTTCTCCATAGTTAAAAGTATCTTTTTGGGCCCTGGCTGTTGTGGTTCAGTTGGTTGACAATTGTCCCATGCACCAGAAGATCGCTCGGTTCGACTCCTGGGCAGGGCACATGCCAGGTTGTGGGCTCCATCCCTAGTAGGAGGTGTGCAGGAGGCAGTCAATCGATGTTTCTCTCTCCCTTTATCTCTAAAATCAATAAAAAAATAATTAAAAATAAATAAAATGTAAAAGTGTCCTGTTGGAATAACTATTTCAGGTGGCTGTTCGAGATAGGATTTTATGAGAATCAGCATCTCCTTATAGATATGGCAAAGCCAGATGATAAAATTGGATATTTGTCATTAAAAATCTATGAATTATGATGCTTTCTTGATGGCATTTAAATAACCTTAAATTCTTTATAGAAGCAATCCATTGATGTAATATCTCTTTTTATTTTAAGAGTTATCTATTCAGAAGCCCAGTTTATTTTATAAATAAACTTTGAATATTCATATTATTATAAATTTCTATTATCCTTCTATATTTTGAGTTTTGAAAGTGTATTTAAATGTATAGCAGTTAATTTTAATGAAGTTAGAGAGTTGTTGCAACTCTTACACTCTTTCTTTTTAGAAAGATTATCTTCCCTTTTAAAGTTATATTCCTCAAAGATATACTTAATCAGTTTTGAAAAACTGAAGTTTCTCTAATATGCAAGATGCTATAAAGCACAATTGGGGTATAAAATAAATTTAGTCCTGGCTGTAAATGAAATTGTAGTATAATGGACAGTAATATTAAGTTATTTGATAGAGGTATATATAAAATACAGTAGTAGCTGAAACCGGTTTGGCTCAGTGGATAGGGCATCAGTCTGTGGACTGAAGGGTGTCAGGTTCGATTCCCGTCAAGGGCATGTACCTTGGTTGTGGGCACATCCCCAGTGGGAGGTATGTAGGAGGCAGCTGGTCGATGTTTCTCTCCCACCGATGTTTCTGTGTATCCCTCTTCCTCTCTGTAAAAAATCAATAAAATATTTTTTTAAATAAATAAAATACAGTAGTAATACAGAGCCAGAGTGGGAATAATTTAATTCCACTTATGGAAATTCAGAAGTATTATGCAGTTTGGTCTGGATAGCCTATAGGATACAGCTTAGTAGTTTGGTATATCACGAAAAATGAGACTTAGAGTTTCTCTACTAGTTAATGATAGCATCTATTCCAGAATAGTGGCTTAAGACCTTATAAGTTTTAAAGATAACATAATTTCTGCAAAGAAAAAAAAGAAATTAGTTGTTTTTTTAATATCTCTTCAAGGATTTAGTACTAGTTTTAGTTGAATTTCTGCTGACTTTAAGTAGTCTACTAATCTAATTCAGAGGGAAACCTTTCTAAACCCTGAACAAAGAAAGAACTGTACTTGGACTTAGTTTTTACCATGTCTTGTTTGGTAGTAAGGCTGCATCAGGATATCTTAACCATAATGTTCATCAATAGAACTAGCTCCTATGTTGTATTAGTGATACACTAGATTTGTATTGTATGTATATAATTATAGAATGCATTATTTGATTGCTAAAAGATAGTTTCTAATTATTTTGTTTCATAGAAGTCAATGATGAAATAAACTTGTTTTGATTTACTGTAGTCTAAATCTTTTCTTTTAATTAAGTCTTCCTAATTTGATATCTTAATGCATTAAAGCTATGTTTTTAACAAGTAGCTTGATTCAGACAAAGAATTGATTCTGAATATTGGAGATGGTACCGGAAAAGGTACCACTAAAAAAAAAAAAAAAAAAGGACTTTTGAGATTTATTATAAATTAATTTGTGCCTGAACATTTTCTTCTGTGGCTTATTTTCTTCTATAATTATTAATTCTAAAATATTGTCATATCTTGTCCAGAAGAATTTTTATTGAATAAGACATAAAAACATGTGCTGCTATAAGCCATGCTAAATTCTCTACATTTTAGGATAGTGTGTTACTGTTGTCATAGTAGAAGGAAGGAGATAAAATTAATGAACAATATAAAATTAATTTCATTTGTTCATGGCTGTACTTAATCCTCTTCCAGATTGGCTGTATTTAGCTATATGTTTGATTGAAATTATACCTGTAGTTTTATATTTGGTATATGTGAAAATTTCTTTTAGAAAAGGAGAGGTGTTGTTCTTGTTCACAGAAATATATGTATACTCTATAATTGGATACTGACTAAATGATAACTTGATTTTTTAATCGGGCATCTCTTAAAAATCACAATTTTTATATCTATTATTAAATATAGAAGGCTATGTAATGTAAATAATTTATATTTTAAGCCTATTGTGATTTGATACTCTTGATATTACTGATTACATTTAAATTCTTTGCATATCCCACTGTCTATGAGAACCAATTCAATAAAATAAGAAAAAGATGTCTTTAGGTATTGCATTTGGTTTACTCATTTTTATTTTTAGTAGAGCCCTGTGCAGTAGGATTGGTCCTTTTAATATCACTGCACACTAGTTTAACAACTATCTATGTAAACAGTGTGGCAGGTTTTAATGCTTGTGTGGCAGGTTTTAATGCTTCTGCCAGAGGGCACTTACTATGAAATATTATTTCACCTTTGGACAGAATAGTAGTGTCTTTCAGGGTGGTGATGGTGGTGATGGTGGAGGGGTGTTTTTATACTTTTTCCCTATGAATAGTTATTTGAGTATGCCTACTTAAAATCTTTCCAGTCCTTACTCCGTGACCTTAGCAAACCATTTTTTCTTTCTTTTTTTTTAGCAAACCATTTCCATAATTTCTACATCGAAGTCAGGGAGCATACACTGCATTTCCTATCATATGAGGTCTTTTAAGTATTAAATAAGATAATACATGTCAATTAGAAATACTGTCTTGAAAAATTTTATGTTAGTATCTGATAGATAATTCAGCATACAATATTTTAGGATCTAATACAGTGAAGTACAAAGTGACTCTTAAGAAGTAAACATTCATTTATAGAATAGAACTATTCTAATGATTAATTGTAAAGCTTATCTGCCATGACAGTTGCCATGGAAGAAAATTTTTAAGAGTCTCATGCTCTACCGACTGAGCTAGCCGGGCACTTCCTAAATTTTTAAAGACTTGGAATTTGTGGGAGGAAATCAGGGGCATATTGGAAATAACAATGATATTTTTTAAATGAACTATCAAATATCATGTTATGAGTTATTCTATTGATGGCTCTATTTTAACCTTAGTTTATAGTATATAGAGTGTTTATAGTGCTGGACATTGGTGAATAAGTTAGTAAAATGTGATAACTCATATCAAAGAATTTGTAAGCTAGAAAATACCTTCATGGCTCTCAAATCTTACCTCTCAACAATTTTTTTAATCTTTTTTAAAAAAAATATTTTATTGATTTTTTACAGAGAGGAAGGGAGATAGAGAGTTAGAAACATTGATGAGAGAGAAACATCGATCAGCTGCCTCCTGCACACCCCCTACTGGGGATGTACCCGCAACCAAGGTACATGCCCTTGACCAGAATCGAACCTGGAACCTTTCAATCCGCAGGCTGATGCTCTATCCACTGAGCCAAACCGGTTTTTTTTTTTTTTTTTTATCTTAATACTCAGGACAGATAGGCAGTGGCAGCAATATCACTTTCTAACGAATAAAGATGCTTTACTTAAAAATTTAGAATTATTAATGCAAACACAACTTCTGCTGTGGCTTCTAGAATTCATATGTTTATTTAGCAAATACTTATTGAGCACCTTTTACATGCCAGGCATTTGTGATAATTAAGTGGACAAAGAAAGCTCCCCGGGATTTAGGAGCTTATATTCTAGAGGGAGTGACAGTCAACTATAAACATAAGTAAATTATAGTATGTTAAAAGTAAGTGCCATGGAGGGAAAAAGGAGCAGGCTAAGGGGGGATGAGTGTTGAGGCAGTTGGACATATTGCAAGTTTAAATAAGGTCTCCTCGAAAAAGTGGTATTTCAACAAAGGCTTGAAGGAAGGTGTAGTTGGCCAGGTGGATATTTGGAGGAAGAACGTTCCGAACAAAGAGAATAGCCAGGAGTGTGTCTTATTTAAGGAACATCAAGGAAGCCAATGGAAACAGAATGAGTGAGAGAGGGAGTAGAATAGAAGATGAAGTTACAAAAAAGGACAAAGATCATGTAGGATTTTATAGGGATTTTGGTTTTTACTCAGAGGAAAAAAGTCATTGCAGGATTTTGAGCATGTTTTGACTTTAGAAGCCTGGCTGCCACTGTTCTGGCAGCATGGGAATCTCAGCTGTGCAAGCCATAGAGAACATGAATTTGGGAGTCTAAAAGGGTCTGAACAAGCCAAAAATGAATCATTCTGTATTCACACTCACCAAGCACCCTGGTGTTCAGCCTTTCAGTGTTCTTTGGTGCAGGTCAGCTTGTTGTACCTTCCCTCTCTTAGCCTTAGAGTTTAGTTTTCTCAATTGTGTTCTTTTCCACTAGTTCTCATCTTTCCAACTTCACTGTCGTTCTGTCATCCTTCGTCATTTTATTGGTGGTTTTAGGAGAGTGCAGAGAAGTATGCTTATCTGTCTCCACGCGGAACCAGAAGACTGAAGCTATAAAAACTAATTTTCCCAACGTGATTAGGAAAACACCTCTGAAGTACTTGCTCTGGAACTTCTTCACCTGCAGTTGTAAAACATCCTGACAGAATTAACAATCTAACAATGTTATTTTCATGAGACACAAATCAGGCCTTTACCATTTTTTAACTTAAAATAGATCTACTATGGCAATAGGTAAAGGATAATCACTTTTTCATTGTGTAAATGTGTGAATTGTGTAAGTGAAGTTTTGTCTCAGGATATACCCCATAATTTGAGAGGGTCTGTCCTGGAATAGGTTATATTTAAAAGTTCCTTTAAGTGAATGGATTTGGTCAGGTTAATGTGCTTGAGAACTTGGGAACTGAGTGGATTGCCAAAAACATATTTTGGTGAAAACAACATAAGGATAGGAGACTTTAATTTTAGCTCCATTTCTTTATTGCTAAATATGAGATGTCAATAGATCACATAACCTTTCTATGGCCTCAATTTCTTCATTTGCAAAAGGAAGGCTTGCAGGTTAGATCACCTCTAACTGTAAAAACTTTATAATAGTGAAGTTGTTTTGTAAGTGTTTTTGTGCTTTTATGGAGAATAAATATAATTAATTTTCTATTTTTTTTTAATGCAGGTTAATGGTGCAATGTAAGAAACCTTTAAAAGTTTCTGATGAATTAGTACAGCGATATCAAATTAAAAATCAGTATCTTTCAGCAATAGTATCTGATGCAGAAAAAGAACCTAAAATTGATCCATATGCATTTGTTGAAGGAGATGAGGAATTTCTTTTTCCTGATAAGAAAGATAGACAAAATAATGAGAGAGAAGCTGGGAAAAAACAAAAGGTAAGAGAAATCAAAGTATAT